TACACTTGATTTCGTTTAAGATAGAATTCTTTGATTTTATATATAATAATAATAATAATAATAAATTTAAATAGGGGATTCTCAACTAATGGTCCTACTAGTATTAGCTGCACATGAAAGCAACATAAGGGAGAAGGGAAAAGAAATTCAATGTAGAAAAAGAAAAAACTTCAAGGATATGATTATCTTGTGATAATTAATTAATACTTAAATATCTTAGATCATAAAAACACCTGAGTTTATATTTCTTTGAGAAATATTAAAAGGAACCAAAGTATATATAAACTTAGTTTAATTATGCAAATCGGAAAGAAGCACATGACATGATATATAAATGCAACAACCAATTAGAATAAAATTTTAGTTTTTCAATTAACGTACATTTGCATTTGCAGCAATGCTATTTTCAGTAATCTTGATGGATTCTTTTTTTTTTTTTTAAAAAAAGAAAATAGTACCAAAAAAATTTCATTAACAAATAAACTTCCATGATTTAAACAATTAAATGATATCTCATCTAATTGGTATACCTTAATCAATCTATTACTTGCAAAGTCATGGATCTAATTAAGGTAATTTATCCCTAGCTTAACTCTATATATATATGTGTGTGTGTGTGTGTAAAACAAAGAATAAAATTAATAAGTCACATAATCATATATGCTATAATCAACCGCAAAATTAAGGGGACGTCGGCAAAGGCCCCGACTCCTAATTTTATTTTTTTTTTAAATTTACCTTTTAAAATATAGAAAATTTGATATTTTCGCTATAAAATAGTAAATATTTTAATTTCACACTCTCAAATGTTAAAAAGAATTTTCACATTCGTAACTACGGATATAAATAAGTTAAGCCGAGCTCAGACCTGCCAGACAATTTGCTCGAGTTCAATTCAAAAAATTTTAAATTTGAACTCGGCTCAATACTCAAATAAATTTAAAATAAATATGATATATATGTATATATAAAAGTAAGATGAGACTCGACGAACTTTTTAAATGAACATCATTAGACTCAAGCACAATTCGTTTTCTAACAAGTTAGTTTAAGCTCGACTTTCAGCTCGATTCGAATCGAACTTTTTTGAACCGAGCTCAAAAAGCTTGTGGACTAGCTTGACTCGTTTACAACCCTATTATGAACTTTTTTTTTTTATTAAATTGAGCTCAAATAGCATGTGGGTCAACTTCGCTCATTTATAACCCTATTCCGAACTATTTTTTCCGGTTTTGCTATTGGTTGTAATTTTGTGTGTGTATATATGGTACGGTGATGAATGATGATATTCTGCTTTTGTATGGATTTGAAATTGTTGATTATACATAATTAATAATGCATGCACCGGCCTACAGCTAGCAAAGTTGTATATGTACATTTGCATTGTAAAAAGGCTAAAAGCTGAAAAGCTAGTAGCACCTTGTTGGTTTCTTTAATGGCTAACTAAATCATCAAGAATGACCAATGTGGGTACATCTTGACCCCTTTGCTAATTGCTTATTAGAAAACAAAGAAATCAAAGAAATTAGTTTCCCTTTTTCCTTTATTGCGCAATAGCATTAATTGTGAAATAATATAGTAATTATAAAGTGTACTTACCTGTGATTGAATTTATATTCTTACTTTTATGGGATTGACGCTATTAGTTAACTCAATTAAAATTTTATTGGTCTGCTCATTTCTTATTTAAAAAATAGTAAAAAAGTGTTTGAATATTTATTTTTTGGTTATATAATAAAATGAAAATTATACAACTATTATTCATATTCATTGTTGCTTTTGTTCGTGTTTAAGTTAACAAATTTGGAAGTGGGTGACGAGCAATATATGTAACCGCCGCCCCCTCACTCTCTCCCTTTCACCGTTAAAATTTTCTTTTCTTCCCTTCAGTGAAGCACAAAATCAAGCATGTAGATACGGGGAGAGGCTGATTCTTGTCTCTTGTGACAGCCCCTCCTCATATTTTTAATTTTATTTCAAATTTTTATATTTTTTATTAAATAAATTACAAATCTATGTCTATACAAGTACAAATTCATGTTATTATGTTTCTGTTACTATTTATGTTTTATCTCCATTTTGTATGGAGTTTATGATCTCTCCATTTTATATGGAATTTTGTTTTGTTGTTTGCATTTGTTTGGTTTATTTGGATGGGTTGCAATTTGTGGAGAATTTTTCAATAATACGATGATCTTCGCCTTTTAGAGTCTGGTAGTGTGGCATGTTACTCCATTGGATTTAGTGGTTCAAATTCTCTGTAATTGTTCATAAGCAACTAATTTATGGATAATTACTGAAGATTTGGGGAGTTCATCTAATCAACCACTTTTAATATCTATCCATTTCCTTTAAGTTCACCTTCTATTTTTTATTAGAATTTCTTATTAGATGAGTAAACAATAATTATTTTATAGTTTCTATTCTATGTCTAGTCTGGTCTTCAAAAGAGGGGCCATGTCCTTCCACTAATATTTGTATTGACCGGAAGTTTTTAATGAAATCCTAATATTATCTTAAAAAAGAAAAAAAAGTTAACAAATTTGAACTTTCATTTCCTTTTTCTTTAAGAAAGCGTTTCCTTCCTAATTGAACCATGCAAAAAAGACAAAAAGGACAAAAAAAAAAAAAAAGAAAGTTTCCTTCCTAATTGAACATGCAAAAAAGACAAAAAAAGGACCAAAAAAAAAAAAAAAAGTAGAAATGGATTAGAAAAAAAAAAAAAAAGAAATGGATTAGGCTCCAATAATTATGTAAATTAATCACTTTAACAATCTTTTACAGTGATTAAAGCATGTTTGCCGTGAATAGAACCTTTAAAAGTTATAAATTGCAAGTTATAATCAAACAAGTAAAAGTATTTCCCTACTTGTAATAGACCTAACCGGACCGATTTACTTTTTATTTGGTTCAAATTTGGTTTGATTTAGGAAAAAAATTTAAAAATTTAAATTTAAATTACGGATATCTATAGATCTTGACAGATATCCACAAACTTTACCTTATCATTACACCTTGATCCAAATCCAACTCATCATGACCAAGTTGAAATTGAACTAGAGCTAAAAAAAAATTATCCAAGCTTGATTTTTTCTTTTTTAAATCAAGCAGGTTGGACGAATCGAGCCGGCACTTCGGTCCATGGTTAGTAGCTATTAGAACAAAAAATTAAATTTTAGTATTAGTATGAAATCATAACAAATCGAAAGTAAGAGAGTGACGAGGAATATATTTGTTTACCATTGTTTGACTTGATTCAACCCATCATTCATTTGACTTGCCAATTTTTATTTTCAATTTTTAATTTCAGTAATTTATATTTATGCTCTGCAATAGCTGAGTATTTTTTCTTATATAAAACTTAATTTTTTTTATTGTTAACAACTAAACATTTTTTTAACCACAAAATTATGAAAATCTCACCATACTTTACCCTTTGTTTGGAAAAGAGAGGAAGGAAAATATTAGAGAAAGAAAAATAATAAAAGAAAATAATGAGGAATCATTAACTTCCTTCCCACGGTCGATTTCTATCATTGTTTTTGAATATAACGAAGGAAAGAAAATCGATTTATCCTCCTTTGTTTGGAAAGTATAAAATTTTAGAGAAAGAAAATATTATTGTTGAAAATTGATAATTATATCTTCACTTAAACGATGAGATATTCTAGAAATGATTATTTTTATTCCTTCCAAAAAATACTCCCATCCATACAAAGGATAATGTTTTCAAACCAGATTGTAATATTTGATGGTTAGATTATATTTTCCATTCAATTTACTTACCTTACCAAAATTAATTCTTTTTTTATAATAAGTTTAAAAATATGTTACTTTAGGATCTACCTCTGTGATTAAATTATCATTTACAAACTATTATTTTTATGTTAGTTCCAAAAATTATAGCATAATCAATAAGGTAAACAGCACACTCATAATTGACAATTGGACTAGTTTTTTTTTTTTTTTTTTTTTTTTTTTTTTTTTTTTTTTTTTTTTTTTTTTTCTAACATTTTAAAAATCTATTTTTTTTTTTTTTTTTTTTTTTTTTCTAACATTTTAAAAATCTAATCATTCTTTAATCTTTGAGTGATTATTTTTTAACATGCTTCAGTTGTTCATGATTTTTTTTTTCTTCTAGTTTTAAAACTGTAAGGATAAAAGTATATATTTAAAAGGGGACATCTTGATAAATGTCAGAAAAGAAATGAAGTTTCGAAATAAATAAAATATCAAAAGAGATTAGAAATAAAGAGAATTTCATTTTCGGTCAAAAAAAAATAAAAACTACAATTGAAAGACGAAAAGAAGTATGTATAAAACGAAATAAAACAAAAAAAAAAAAATAGAAAAACAAAATAAAGAGAAAAACTAGGCATATATACGAAATAAATTTGTGGTTTCATTTTCGTAAATAAAGAAACAAACAGTCAAAAAAATAGGATTTATAATTCAATAGTAAATACGGTGCATATACTACCAACAATACACACCAAACGAATTCAATCCAATAGTGGGCCTTCAATTCAATTCCGAACCCATCAATTTGGGCCTCTGATAATTCTCCTAAACCTAACTATAAATTAATTGGGCTAAACTTTTGCATTACTTATTCATCTTTTGATTCTTTCTTATCCACATAATATGGTTACCGTTACAGCGCGTGTTGGGCAATCATTATTCACAAAAATAACGAATATAATTTTTTTTATTCTACGCTCCAAAGCAGCTCTGACACTGGTAGCCAGCAGATACTGCAAAAAGAAACAGCCGCTTCCACAAAAATTTTTGTTTCTCTACCCGCCTCACTGCACGCTGCCCTTTATACCCAACCCAATGCAAAACGTGTACACTAAAAGCTGGAAATGTGAATAACACGCTCCTTGATAGAGCGTGAAGTATCTATAATATCCATACGCGCGTCTTGGAGCCTCGTGGCATCGTACATGTAGCGCCACCGCTGCACCAACAACACAAGACAAAAGGAAGTCACTAGTCACCATTCACCACTCGCCACTACCTCTATATTTCACTGTCACAAAATTAGGGTTTTGTTAAGTAACTGAAGAAAGAGCCCCAAATTTTCCGTCAATGAGAATCAGGAAAGGGTACTGTAATGCTCTTCAGCTTTCATCAGTAACGCCGCCATTAGCGTCGTCACCGGATCTTGTTTCATCGATTGCTCACCAGCCTCCATGGCCAACAACTCCCACGCCAACCTTTCCGTCACAAAAACTGCACCGCCTATCAGACAGTGGTTCTAACGGCGGAAACGACTATTTCTCTCCACCGCCTGTCATGATCAGTAGAACAAACGTTCCGGTGAAGGTTTCTTGTCTTTCAAGCTTCTATTTTTTTTATGCTGAACTTGATGTAATAATAGCTAACGCAATCCGAGGTCTTTATGTTAATTAGAACACAGGAATCGGCACCGGAGAAAAACGGATTACGGTTGATAGCGTGGAGAAGATGACTACAGCAGTTTGTGAGAGGTTTTTTTCATTAATTAATTAATATTCTTCAAATATAATTATATTTTCATATTTTAATTTCTTGTTTTTGTTTTTCATTATAGCTCTATTAGCACGGAAACATCAAGTTCAAGCTCCGTTTCTTCCTCTTTATCTACTTATGGTAAGTAAAGATTCCTACACTGTACATAACTGTAACTGTGTTAATACTTTGATATACAATTAATTAATGGTGGTGACAGGATGGTGGTGTGAGGAAGAGAAAGTATTTCCATTGAAGAAAAGAAGAATGGGCTTAGAAAAATTCATAACCCAAGAATTCGATGAGAAGGAAAATGGAAAGAAGGAATCAGTTGTTGCTAATTATAAGTCAAGAATCAAGATTTGCCATAAGAAAGGGAAAGATTATGACGATAATTATAGCAATAATACAAGAATAGGTAAGAGTTTGAGATGTTGTAGGAAAAATGGGAAAGGATGGAGATGCAGTAGAGAGAGAGCTGAAGGCTGTGAATTCTGTGAGCATCACATCAAGTTGAGAGATTGGGAAGTTAGTAGAAACTCAGACAATGGCGGTGATGGTGAGAAAGAATTTAGGGTTGGTAGTAAGAAGAAAAAGAGGACTATGTTGATAAGTAGAATACTTGATAGAACAATGCCTTTGGTTGCTAATACTAGTTTCTAGCTAGAGATTTTCTATTGTATTATTTATATGTCAAGGTTTCTGATTAATACAGTTGAATATACATGCATGTAGTCATTAATTAGTTATTAGGTTGGTGACATGGAGGTCTATATGTAGTTAAATGCCTGAAAAGGAATGAAAAGCAGGCTGTGGCTTGTTTACTTTTCTAATTCCTTCAGTTATTGATCTATGGTTTCTCTGTAATCTTGCCATAATTGTAGTAGTTGTCTTACCTTTTAAGTTTTGTTCAAGAAAAGCTAGCTAGTAGCTATTATTCAATGCATAATCTTCAATTCTACATGCATATAAAAAATGATATTGATAAGGCACGTCGAGTCGTTTTCTTTCACGTCCATATATGTTTTAAAAGTGAATATTTATATTAGTTAATCAAATAAGAGAAATGGACTTGTAACAATATACTAAAACTTGATAGATGATAATAGCATAGACATGAAATTTTTATAATAAATTTTGCATTTTGATTATTAATTAGAGGAGGAAAAATAATTTTCTAAACGTTCCAAAGAGTTGGTAAACTGGTAACGCATGAGTTGCGTCTAGTTTGATTAGGTAGTTAATCTCCGATTTTGGATTATTCAATTGTTCCTTTTTTTTTTTTTTTTTTTAGTTAATCTCGATTTTGGGCATTATTCAATTGTTCCTTTTTTTTTTTTTTTTTTCCTTTTTTTCCTTATATATTTTTTTTTTTTTTTTTTCCTTTTTTTCCTTATATAGATAAGGAATTCATTATTGTTCAGAATCGAATTAATTCGATTTGCTTCATTCAGATTATTTTTTATTTGTTTGCAAAATTTTCAATGTCTAACTATTAGATAGCTTCAAAGGTTGCACAAATTATTGGTTTTGGCTGTACTCTAATGATTGAATGCCTAATTTGTAACCCGCACATAAAATTTACAATCATATACGATTAAAAATTACTAATTTTTTTTCTTATAATCTACTAACTTTAGGATTGTTTATTTTGTCATGTCGATAGGTTATTGGTATTTCATCTTCAGCTTATTCGATTAGACAAAAATGAAATAAATTTATTTCTCAGAGCTGAATTGATAAATTGCTTATAATTATCTGAATTTACAAATCAAAATTTATGTAAATGAAAAAGTTTTTTTCAACAGAATTTAATAAGCTATATAATTTGCCAGATTAAAAAATAAAATTATCAGTAAATAATTATAAAATTACATCAATTTTTAATTATTTAGCAGTCAGTAGTTTTTATCATTCAACTGAATAAGATTCACATTCACTTGTCTAAGAAGGGAGGAAGCGACTGAATCCTAGGCCCAGCTCTAATAAACTAGACCCAATAAGAAGTGGGTCAGTCCAGCTGCTGCATAGAGCAAACGTGTGTTTCAAACTTGGGCCAATATCAGTGACTGTTCATATTAATAGAATAGAGAACCTGAAATGTCCAGGAGACCAAAAATGGCTCCTCATATATGGACCCCACAAGGCATTGTTCCTTTTCCTCTCATTCCCAACTCACCTTCCGGATAAGCTTTTCTTTTCCCATTTTCCAACCATTTTTTTATCCACCTTCGGAACGGCCAAAAAATTAATAATAATAATAATAAATTTAATAATTTCAGAAAAAAAGGAAAAGAAAGCAACCTTCAAAATCGTCTAATCCAAACTCTCAGGCCTCAAAAACTTCAACACTTCAAATAACCAAAACATGATTTTCTTGGATGATTCTCCCTCTCACCCACCAATTAAAATTTCTTGATGTTTCTTTAATTTGTTGAAAAGGCTTTCTTTTTTTCTTTTTTCTTGAAATAGAGGAGGGGATAATTAAGATTCAAGAAAGAAACAAGAATGTCAATTATAGCAGCGAATTCCCACATTTTGTACAGAGAAGCAGTCTATAATTACCAACAGCAGCAGCTGCAGTTACGAAGTAGCAGCGGTGGGAGTTGCTGCTCCAGCTTTTTAGTGCAAAGAACTTGTGGATTCTTTGATCTTAGAAATGGAAAACCAAAAGGGATTTCCAAAAGAGACATGAAACTCGAAGCTTTTTGGGCTGATATGACAGAACCCACATCTGTAGAGATGGAAGCCATCAACGATTCTGATCAGCTCGATCAAATCCTAATCCAAGCGCAGCAACTCTCACAGCCTATTCTCATTGACTGGTACATACATAAATAATTCTACTTATATTTAATATATTTATCTGTTGTCCCTTCTTTTTCCTTAATTAATTAATTACCAATTAATTGGATTTTTTATTATTATTTTGTAGGATGGCTTCTTGGTGTCGAAAATGCATCTATTTGAAGCCCAAGTTAAAGAAATTGGCCGCTGAATTTGATACCAAGTAATTCTCTCTCTGTTTTTCCTCCGTTCTTGAATATCTGTTCACAAAAGGTACAGTAGCATTATTCAAAAAATATCTACCTAAAATATCTTGCAAGTTTGACTCTTAAAACATTATTTTACTGTAAATAAAAAAAAAATTATTGGGATAAATTTTCTAGTTTCAGCATAAAATTATTGAGTAAACTATTGACAAAATAACTGTTGAACTAATGATTTGGTGATGGAATATTTATCTTGTAATAAAAGAAATCATGTTTTAAAAAAATCTTTTTTTTTTTTTTTTTTTTTTTTTTTTTTTATTTATCGTAATAAAAGAAATCATGTTTAAAAAAAATCTTTTTTTTTTTTTTTTTTTTTTTTTTTTTTTTTTTTTTTTTTTTTTTTTGGTGTTGCAAAATTTAGGATAAAGTTTTACTATGTGGACGTGAACAAGGTACCACAAGCTCTAGTCAAGCGTGGAAACATCTCAGTATGTTTGATTTTTCACTCTGTCAAACAATTACTTCCGTTTCAAACTATAATTATCAATTATATAATTTTTTTTTTTTCTAATGATTTTATTTTTTTTTCCCTTGGTTCTCTCCAAATTGCCAGAAAATGCCCACAATTCAGGTACATTTGCTATCAGAATTCTTACTTTATTCAAATTAGTTTGACCAAAATTATTTAGTAAGTAGTTTACTGGAGAAGTGAGAATGACAGAATTGAGTAATGCAGCTATGGAAGGATGGAGAGATGAAAGCAGAGGTAATTGGAGGGCACAAGGCTTGGCTTGTGATTGAAGAAGTGAGAGAAATGATCCAAAAATTCATATGATAATTGTATGTAATATCTTCATTTCTCTTCTAGTTAAGCATATGTATATAAGAATTCTTTCCATCTATTTTTATAAGGGTTTTTCTTATTAAAAAGAAAAAGGGAACAAGTCTAGTTATCTGCAATTTTGATGTAAAGAGTACTACTACTGCCATTTTTCTTGAGGGATTATACATGCAATACACAGATATTTATGGGTCTCAAAATGGTGGAAGCAAGTTTCGATTCCCCTTCTCGGTTTGGGCTACCCTTTCCTGGGTTCATGCTTGTAGCAGTATTCTTATTTATAAGGTTTTGCAAAAACTGCAGAGGAATATCATGTCTGTGGCAAATAAGCAAGAAAAGATAAAAAATTCCATGGTCAAAAACAAACAAGTAGCTTTGGTTGAGTGATTAAGACGTGTGCATGCTAAGTACATGGGGTTTCCCGTGAAAGGTCGAACCCCTCAGGCGACGCTGCTCTTTTATTTTGGGAATTGATGGAATTACATTTGCCATTTGGAGCAGAGTCATCAGTTTGACAACATACATATCAATTCCTTTGATCATTATGAAATCTGTTCAACTTTAATTGTTCTTTTAACAACACCATTATGAAGCTTTAATAGGAGATTTCTAATTAAATATAATTTAAGATACCATACTGAAATTTAAAAAAAAAAAACATAATGTTTAAATATAATATTTACAAAAAACAATAATAAATTTTTTTTAAAAAAAAAATATTTGGATCCACATAAATTAGTCATTATGGTATAAAAACATTCCCAATAACATTTTTCTCACATGGTTAGAGACAAGAACAAAAAGAGCACTACAATCTTGGCAATGTGTATTTGCCAAACAACTAAAAATACAATCTATCAAAAAAACACTAATTGAAATTTTTATCCCATATTAACTGTATCAAATAGATTTATGATTATAATTCCCTCTCTGTATAATCCGTCTATGTAACCATGACAATGTCGTGGCAGAAACAACAGACGAAATAGGGGAACTACGTAGAACTGCATATATATTACATAAATCTAAGAATGCCTGTCTGAAATTTTTAGGCTATTTCGTTTTTTGAATTTATGCTGGAGTTTCTGGTCCTGCTGGTTTTGATGAGTTGAGAAGTGGTTGCAGAGCCTTAACGACAATTGTCATGTTTGGCCTGAAGTCTGCCTCGTACTGAACACAAAGTGCTGCGACTGCTGCTAACTGATAAGTTAGTTAACGAGCAAACATTAGAATTCAGTTATTTATAGTTTCAATCAAGAAATTTGGTAAGAAAAAGAAAAGGCCGTTTATAGTAAAAGAAAAAAAGAAAACCTTAGCAATTGCCTTTGGTGGGTATTCATTATTTAGTTTGGGATCCACACATTGCTTCACTTTATCTTCACTTAATCTTGGAGTTGCCTGTGTTTAATTACTAGTATTGGTTAATTGAATGCATAAAATGAATATAAATAGAAGATTAAAGAATTACTAGTATGTCTTGTAATGCAAGAAATTAAGAGTTTAAACTTCAAACTAAGTATTTTCAATGTATCAAAGAACAAAAATAGAAAAAAAAGAAACATACCCAGGTAACAAGACTTTGTTGTCCCTTAGGCATTGTATGGTCTACTGGCTTTCTTCCTGTCAAAAGCTCTAGAAGAACCACTCCGAAACTATAAACATCGCTTTTCTGTGTTATTTGTCCAGTCATGGCATACCTATAAAGAAACAAACAGGTTGAAAAGGAATGTTAAACTAATCAACTGTTTAAGCTATGTTCCGAAATGTCATAATCGTATGTGACATAATGTAAAATGCATTTTCAGTTCAAATGTTGCGTATCACATCCATAAGAAACATAGGTTAATGTTGAAGGAGAAGCCAAAATGCTTACTCAGGAGCATGGTAACCAAAAGTGCCTAAGACTCTTGTTGAATGCAGCCGAGCTGCAGTATCAGAAGAGGCACTTGACAGGTTAAAATCAGCAATTTTAGCCATGAAATCATCAAAAAGAAGTACATTGCTCGATCTAACATCGCGATGAACTACAGGAGGCTGACATTTTTCATGCAGATATTCAAGACCTTTGGCTGCACCAAAGGCAATTTTAACTCTCTGGTTCCAACTAAGTACAGGACCTGGTTCAGCCCCTTGCACACCTTTCCTTCCTGCATCATAAAATCAACCATTTATCAATCCATTACATTAAATTACATTTCATTACATTATATGCCAAACATTACGTAAGATATGTACCATGTAATACGTCATGTAAAGAACCCATTGTCGCAAACTGGTAAACCAAGATTCGACTATTTGATTCCAAACAATATCCCATCAACTCCAGAAAATGATCATGTTTAAGCCTTGAAACTAGGGATAACTGCATACCGCAATAAAAAGAAAAATGCAAGAATAGTTAAATTTTTCAGGCAAGAATAGAGATTGGAATTCACATAAATTATCTAACCTGTGCTGCAAAATCAGAATCTGGTTCTTGTGAAGTGTTGGCATCTAGTTTCTTTATTGCAGCCTCTCCACCATCCTCTAACTTGGCATAGAAAACTCGGCCATAAGAACCTTCACCAATCAATGCCTTAGAACCAAAGTTATCGGTTAATCTGTTTAACTCCTCCAATGACATAGATGGAACTTCAATTGGTAACATCTTTTGCGGAGCTCCACTTTTGGCAGGATTGGCACTCTTTGGCTCTCCTCTCTGGCTATCTAAAATAACCAAAAGTAAATATAGGCTTTGTTTGGTAGGATATAATTATAACTGTAATGCAAATATACTCCCCTGCTCTCAATTTGTGCCTATGTATGGAATGAGGAACATTAATTACAACTTTGAATTTCTGATACATACTAAAAGAACATGCATATAAAACTATTTCAAAAAATTTATAAAACAAAAGAGAAAAAGAAATTGAAATATGCATATAAAACCAGCATTTGAAGAAGAAAAAGGAAAAGAAATTTAGAGGGACAATTACCTCCATATGGATTGCCTCCTTTAGGTGGGGCTGCAGATGGATTAGCAGGCGGGCCGTCGAGTTCCTCCTCCGCACCTCCGCAACACGACATATCAGCTCTTCAATTAATACCACAATTTCAAACAATGTCCTGCAAAATTCTACTTTTTTCATTATTTCATCGTCAAAAATCAAGAACCACAAAGAAAGAGTTGATATTGTAAAATCAAAGAATCTGTACCTAAGGATTTGAGATTTTAACAGAGGAAATGACAGAGAGATTCGATTGGTAGATAGAGAGAGAATGGTAATGGAGAAAAATGTGGGAAAAGAAAAAAAAATATCTACAGAAACGAAAAAAATAAATAAAACGGAGGAGATTTTGGAAAACAGAGGAAGAAAGGAGATGGGTTGTTTTTAGTTTCTTCTCTCTGTTCTCTAACTCCCTGTATTGATTCTCTGTTTTAGAACAAAACAGAGGCGGAGGCACATTTTCCTTTGTTGTAGCGGGAAATTCGGATTCCGAGGCTTTAACAGCTAAAACTAACCTACTTCTACGTGCTTTCACGTTTGCTTCGCATGCCCCATGTGTTTTATTTTTATTATTCACATCGGACGGTCTTTGTTTCACTTTATCATGATCTCAATTCTGATATCTAGTTTGCAAAAACCGAATTGATCCTTCTTTTCTTTTTTTTTCCCTTTATCCTTTGGACGGATTAAAATTAAGTTACATTTTAAAAATGATAAGTTGGGTCACACGTAGATAATGACGACAATCTAATTTCAAATTTAAGTCAAACTGAAATTGAATTAATTAAAATCAAAATCAAGCTATGATCACAGTTTTTGATTTTAAACTGTAATCGAATTCATATTTTTGTGGTTCGTTTTTCAATTTTTCATTTTTTAAAATCCAAATCAATAATTTTTGTTAAAATCAATGGTTTCAATTTGAAACCATGGAAAAAAAATTAAAAAAAACTCTAAATTTATTTTTTAATTTTTAAGACTTTTTATTAAATTGGTTAATCATTTTCAATAGTATTTAATATTATTATCCAAGTCACAACACTTAAAAAAATTATCTAATTTCAATTTTAAAACAGTATTAGAAATTATTTGATGGATGGTAATAGCATCAGGTGAATCCAAAAAAATTATAAATTTTCAAAACCCACTAAAATTATGAATGTTATGATTACTTTCAAACATAAGAAATTCCTTTCATGATTCTTTGAACTCAAATTATATTTTATATTGACAAGTTTTCTCATGAGCGACTTCAGGGATAAAAACAAGAATTATGACATATAAATGCAAAAGAATCAAGAAATATGTGATTTTGTTTATTAAAAAAAGATCTTGAATCAAAATATTCCTGCACTACAAGTTAGAATTAATTGGAGTTAAAACAAAAATAATGGGACATCAATTACCAATTCCCCTGTATATGATTGATCAAATACAGTAAAGAAGAAAAAAATTAAAGAAAATTTGATGTAATTGGGTATTAATGATGATCCAATTCTGATATCACGCAAACTCCTTCGCGCGCTTCAACAGTTGATCGAACATATCAGGAGTGCAAGAAGAAAGAATTATTGGCCCGTCAATCTTCAAGTCGAAGTAATCGTCCTGTGACTGCTTGATCAATTCTTGCAACGCCGGAAATTTCAAACTTTTCAATGGAACTTCATATCTTCTGCACTCGTCACCGACGTAAATGGCTATGTGGCCTCTTCGACCCTGTTGCGCTTTCGCACTTTCTGACAACTTCGCGTAGAGCGGCTTATAAGAAGAAAAAGAAAAAGAAAACTTGTTTCTGCTAATTAGAGAGCTGATTTGCCTTGCAAAAGTTCTTGGCGAAGGCATGGTTAATGACGATCAAAGACTCAAATAGTAAAAGAAGATGCAACAGAAGAAAAAATTGCAAGTGTAGAGATGAGCATGGAGATTTTGATTTATATATTATATGCAATATCTTTTTCCTTTACCTGAGAAGATTAGGATTCGGATTTCTGTTTACTTGAGGATTTTTTTCAAGCCAGCGTGATATTTAAAACGCGGCCAAAAAGAACAGCGGGCCGCGGATTCTGTCTTTCAAGAATATGAACCAAGTATATTAGCAGAAAAGAGATGGACATAGATAAGCAAAGAGACTGGATCTTTATTCCTTCTCATTTCAATCAGGGAATATGGTACATAAAAACATAAACAGAACAGAAATGGCATATTTAAACATGGTTCATTTGCGAACCGACATGCATTTTGATGCATGAAGCTTAACATTCAGTTTTCACTTCCTACACACTCAACTGGAATCTGCTCCGCGGAGTCGTGAGATAACAGATTGTTGAAGACCTCAATCATGAACACGAAGTAAAGACGATAGCAAATCCAATCTGAATAACTGAAGCTTTACCGCTCTGACCTTGCATTACATAAATTTTGCATACTGTACAATCAACTGAACATTATCTCTTCTCATTCTTCTTTCCATATGCGGCCTGTAACCCTCAACTTCAGCTCTTGCCTATCTCCTCCAGAAAAATAGAGAGCCAAACTCCTCTGAATAATGAGTCCATCCTGGCTATCACGAACTTTCCTGTGACTGTCACGGATGCTCCTGGGAATTCCCTGCCATGTCAGTTTGCGGCCATTTCCACCGACTTCCAAGCTGTAGCTAAATTTCTTTGCTTCATTATCATCACCCATAAATCGTAAAAAGGCCATATATACTGGTGCCATACCTAGCTGGAATGCCTCAAAATGCAAGCAGAACTGTCTTCCAAAACAGTTGAAGACCTTCACAGGATTAAAAGCTCAAGATGTCAATTGAAGTATTTGTTCAAATCGCCCAGAAAACATAAATTTTGGGTAATTAGATTTAGAATCAAATATCAAAGATAAAATAAGGTTTTATATTGCAATTAAAGTTTATCATACGATCATCCGATACTGTGGTGTCTTTGCAATTCTTACAACAGAAAATGTGAAATTCTGAAAGCCCCTATATAACCAATTCTAACAGTACAAACTGAAAGCACAGGAACAATTCTAACAGTATAACCAAGTCTTTCTATTCTACTCGGTCCAATTTTTTGATTCACCAAATTCTGTCAAATTTCTAACCACAAGCCCAAACATAAAGACCCCAGACACATGAAGTTAGCATCTATTGAGTTATTTGTGTCTTTCTCTATTATACTGAAAAATCACATCCTTTAGCACACCAGAATGGTTAAACAATCCAACTATATAAGTTTATTATGTATCATAAAACAAGAGACTCACAGTTAGCATCCATGTGGCATTTTCAACTTCATGCGGATTTGATTTGACATAACGATGATTGAAGGTACACCCATCATGCATGTCCACCTTGTGATCATCCTTTAGATGTGCAACAAGTGCTGGGATGTCACCTGTGACAGAGCACTCAGACCCAGCATAAGGGCAAGTGTAAGGACGGAATCGACAGTGTTGTTCATGCTTGAGCTTGCTGTAGTATGGGAAGATATCATGACATCCCAAATCCTGGTACTTGCAGGGCAGTTCCAGTGATTCTGCAACTTTCTCCAGGGCTAAGCACCTTATATTTCCAAGTTCATAGCGACAAGTAGGGCAACAGTTATGCACTCTAATCTTGCAGTTCGAACATAAAGTGTGTCCATTTGGGCACTATAACATAAAAGTCCAACATAAATAAGAGAGTTGATAATTGGATCACCATATTCAATAATTCTAAAAAGATGTGGAAAAATAAATAAGAAATAGGAAATACATAGTTTTTAAATTTGAAATCTTAACTGAATCATTAATTTCATAATTTGATTTACCAAACTAAGCAGTTAGGAGTTTTATGGTCAAGTAATCAAGAGTTGTTACTGCACTGATTCCTAAGTGACCCAAAAATACAGTTAAATACTAATCAGTTAGTCTATAATCAGTATTAAAAAGTATGAATCCTTCTTTACTTTACAAATTGAAAAAGCCATTTTATGTATTTCCAAACTGTCATATGCATCTACCACCACCACACTATCTTATACATGCCCCAATCTTGCCTCCATCACAAAGTGGTAAACTATAGTTTGCAAGAAAACCCTGTTAAGAATACAAAAGTTACGAACAAGCCTGCCATGACAGTTGCAAACTCTATGGTATATTCGCAGCTATCTACCCTACCATATTCATAAACCAGTCACTGGACATGATAATGGCTTGCGCTGACAATACATATTGTCATTCATGAATGGTTATGATAACCTTAAAAAATTATCAAATTTCATATTTCAAATACACCTTCAATATGATAAACCGTAAAGGTAGATTCCTATGAACTTCAATTCCTTCCAGCATTACTTTACTGTATCCACAATCACGATAACAAGTAAATGACAAAAGCCTTACAGTTGTGGACTATAGAAATGTATAAGGAACCAAGCAAACTATAAATAATCTCTGAATTATTTGAGGCATCATAAGAAATTTGGTATACCAATAGTTGAAGTTCTTCAAATAAATAAATAAATAAATAAATTTCCTTTTGTTAACTTCATGGAAGAGGAGAAAAGGGGAGGGTCCAAATACTGTTCTGAGCATTACACATAATATGGCCATTTTCAATTCTAGGGAAGGGTCTGAGGCATTACACATAATATGGCATTTTCAATTCTAGAAGGGGGGGGGGGGGGTAGGGGGGGGGTGGGGTTGGAGGAGAGAATGAATGCATCCCGAAATGCTGAAATTAAGAGCAAACCTGGTGTATTGGAGGATACATTAAATTTGAGCAAACAGGGCACTCAAGGAGTTCATGCACGCCGTTATTAGTATAAACTCCATGCTTTCCGCCTAGACTGGGAGCACCTTTAGCCGTTGTAATATTATTCTCTACCTTTGCTGTTCCAATATCATAATCCGGGATTGTGGGTTGAGATTCAAGAACCTCTTTGCAAGCACTACCCCCAGGAGCCATTGTTATCCCGAAGTGAGCAGTATTTCAAGTTTGACTGAATTAAGCACTTTTGCAATATTTCCAAAAGATTCAACACCCCATTGGCCTGTAAACACAGCAGCAGCTTCAGTTTTTTGAAGAAATTAGACTTTACAATAGGTTAAGCACAAGATGCTGAATGACGACTCCATTTTCTCAACTGGACTAACTTCCATCACAAAAATCTTACTAATGATATTACTCTAATACATAATGAAATTTTGCTATTTGTCTTTAATGTTTAAACATAGAAAAAGTTCAAGGAGTTTGGGTAGTTTTGGCATTAAGGCATCCTACTGTTCTGTGGCATGCATGACTAGTGGATTTGAAGTAGAATCTTCTGCATCTATAGTCAGTTATTGACAAATTTCTAAGGAGCTCCCATAGAGATGTACCATATTTATAAGAACAGTCAACAGTGGCAACAAGACACCATTTAGCTGCATTGTTTGATAAAACATTGCAGAGAAGACAGACCACTTAAAATAAGTTAGCATTTCATATGCGCTCTCTGCCTCTTGAAAAAACAAAAAACTAATCAACAAGTTAGTAAAGAGCTGAAAGACCAAATAGCCTGCCAGAGAACACAGGCTACTTAAACCAAAAGCGAAAAGTAGAAGTGCAGCAAAAGAAAAAAGGAAAGGAAAGATGAAAGTGGCGGAACAACATTTACCAGACATTTATAAATCCAAAAATCAACTGCAAGTAAATTATAAGGAAATGGGTTTTTTGTGTTAGGATTGGCAAGAAGGAGAAGAAAAATAATAACATCAAGGATCAATCCATGCAGAAACCAAACAACTTAAGCACATCTATATGCAATCAAAATACAAGGAAACATTTTCTGCTGACAAACTTTATAGAGTTGAAAGTAGACTCATCTAATGAAAATTGACCCAGAAAAACAGCTTTTTATCTCTAGTTCATTCACAGTCACCTGTATGATTAGATAGCTATCAATAAGCAATTGAGAATGAGAAAAGCAACTGGAATTTTACAGGAAATCACCGTTCTCATAAATATATTTTGAAAAAAAAAAAGTTATTTCTAATCTCCAACGAAGTTACTGATCTCAATCAAATATAAACCTCAAAAAAAGCACAGAAACGCCTTGGCAATCTAATAACCACCAAAGTAAAAATAGAATATGAGACAAAATTCCTAACAAAAACAAAAACCCATTTCAAAATCTCAACTGGCTACCATTTTTTACACAAAACTCAAGTATATTGAGCCAAAAACTATGTTTAACATTTATAATATACAACAAAGGAAGCAACCATAAAATGAGACAAGAACAGTGAAATAAAACGAACCCATTCAGTATTTGCTCAAGGTTATCGCATTCTATATTTCAATTCTTTTCCCAATTAACCCAATCACCAAAAACAATCCAATCAAACACAAATAACATTAAAATGGAAACAAAACCCGCGTTGAAGTTTTGCAAAAATGAAACCAATTAATAAAGAAAAACAAAAACAAAGATACCCAGTTCGAGATTCTCCACGCCGTTGTCTTCACATACAATCAATTAAGACAATCAAATCAAAAAAAAAAAAAAAAAGGAAAAGAAAAAAATCAAAAAAAAAAAAAAAAAAGGAGAAAAAAGAAAAGTAAAAAAAAAAAAAAAAAAAAAGGAGAAGAAAAGAAAAGTAAACAGCGAATTGAAAACCTTAAGCAATCAAATAACACAGAAGAGACAAATTTATTTTAAAAGCAAATTAAAAAAAAAATTTGACATACAAGCTCCGCATTACCCGGAAATGGAAGTGAAAATCGAGGAAAGAAAAAAGGGGTCTTGTTTGCTTCGGCAGAGGCCGTGAAAGGTATTGGTTTCCTGTCTCTATATGCAAGCCTGCTTCACAATCTAGTAAATGGTAATGGATGGGTTTTTTTTTTAAATGTGTTTTGAAAATTAGGAAAGTAAAAAAAGAAAAAACTACATATATTTCGCTTTCTGTGTCGTTTATTATTATTATTATTTTTTTTTTTTTTTGAGAAAAGTGTCGTTTATTATTTATTATTATTAGTATTGTGTTAATTAATTAATTATGGTTTTGTCCTAATAGTCGACCAAAGCTTCTTCCCGCACGCAACGTTTTGAATTTTGATGATCGTTGGTTGACGTTAACTTTCCACAAGAGGAACACAGTTTTAAGGTGTTCTCTTCTACTCAGAAACTTTCCTTTTTTGGCAACATGCCAGTTTAGTTTCAGAAAATAAAAATTCATTGTAATATATAGTTTTATTATTATTATTTGAACATTTTGCACATTAACTGTTTCACTCAGAAACTATTATTTAACCTGGCAGTAAATGTATTATGAATTTTATTATAAACCCATTAAAGAGTAATTTTGCTCATAAACTATAATATAAATCCATTTTTGGATAAAAATTACACATCGTAGAAATTACATGAAGTGAAAATTAAAATTCGGATCTATTATAGGTTAATTAGAGTGTTTTTATCTTTATATAAATCCCTTTTTTATATAAATGAATTTGAATGTTAAATTTCATTTATATATAATAGAATTTAAGTAATTATATTGAATTTTATAAAATTTAATTTTTGGAAATGAAATAAACACTTGCTATTTATACTAAACTTCATAATTTCCAAATAAGATTTATAGAATTTACATATATCAATTGGAAGACTTGTGTAATTAATTTTAGAGTGTTAATATTGTATTTGATTTAATCACACAATTAGCCATGTAGTGCACAAGGTTGGAGCAATTGAAAATTCATGAGATATTTATATGACTGAAATGTTGACTTTAAAAATAAACTTAAATGTATAATATATAGGAAATAATAAATTAATCCTAATATAATCAATAATAAATGAATAATATATAGTTAGGAATAGTTTGCTTTTTCCATTTATCTTTTGTTGGATCCAAAAGGATGAAAGAGCAGGTAAATGAGTTGGACCCATTGATCACCAACCTTGCTCGATGGACCACATAACACTTCCTACATCTAATTACTTGCTAACAATACATCAATTGCATAACATAATTTACATAATTCAGGATGAGTTCCATTTAAAAAAAAAAAAAATTAGTAATCTGGATTTAAGTTATCTCGACTACAGTTATATTCACCAATTTGGTCAGTCAATGCGAGAGTTATCCATATTGTGTAGTTCATTATATTATTTTGACCTATAAAAACCTCTAATAAATTTTTTTTAAAAAAATCTTGGTAGGCATTAATTGAAATTAAAATTTTCTTTGAGCAAAGTTGATGGCACCCCCTCCCGTCTTCGGCTTATACATTTAAAAAGTTGCTAATTCCAGGAATTACACCTAACTCCTAAATTTATGAGTTTCAAAATATTGGTTGTAAGTTGTTATGAAGTATATATATATATATTCAACCAATGCATCTATTTTATTGTTTGGATGTTAGCCAATCACTTTGTGTTTTTTTATTCTTAAAATAGGATATATTTTGTACAACAGTTTGAAAACCTTAATATATATATATATATATTGTTTGGATGTTAGAATAAACTTTGTGTTTTTATATCTTCATGTCTGAAACTAGAGCAATACTATTTTGGTACAACAGTTTGAAAACCGTTGAGTATATATATATATATATATATATATTCCGACAATAATCTATAGTACGGTTATAATACAATATATTTGTAGTTTATCAGTAATTATCTGAATTTTTGATAAAAAATATATATTCCAATAATCTATAAGTACGTAATACAATATATTTTAGTTTATCATTAATATCTGAATTTTGATAAAAAAAAATAATTATTGTGACACCCTGAAGAATTGTATCTTGAACTGTATATGAATTCATAATTCTTTTCCACCTTTTTCTTAAAAAAAAAAAAAAAGAAAATAAGATATATAACAGTCAGGCTATTCCAAATCTTTAATAAATAATGCCATGCGTGTGGTTTCAAGACAAATCTAATCACACTACACCTAAGTAATACAGCTTTCATAACATAACATCAACATTATTATGATTATTGCTAACACCTAACTTTTAATAAATAGAGAGTCCTTATCGCTTAAACATACTTCTAGAATTTAATTTATAAATATTTTCTTTTATAATTTCATAATGTTAATAATTCCATATGGTGCACGTTGATCTTTCCCCTTAATGCATTACATGATATGTGTGATTAATTTCTGAAAAAATGAGCTAATCAAACGTAGATTGATTGACAACCAAAAGAGGGTAGCGGCAAAAAATAATTATAAGTTGATCATCGTGACTTAGTTTATAGATTCAATCTTCCGCAACACAAACTTCTCAGTGCGAATTCTTTGGACAAATAATGATTAGTCAGATTTATTGTGGACCATTAAAATGAACGTGGGTCTGGGCAAATAATAATTAGTCAGATTTACTATACTCCGTTAAAACGAACACAAGTCTGGATCTCATGCAAGTATAAAAAAAGTAGACGGATTGATTTTTTTTTTTTTATAAAAGTTGAGTTTCGGTTCGAGTTATTTTGTCCAAAAGAGTTTTGATCTTAAAATAATTAATTAAAGAGTGGATAACCTTTCTTATATATGAATATGTAATTTACAGTATTATCTCAGTCCATTTGCAATAAATAAAAAAATCTGAAAATAAAATGAAAACTGAAAAATTTTTTATAATAATAATTATAATGATAAAACTGATTAGTTTGGTTCAGCACAAAAAAAAAATTTACGATAAAATATATTTTCATATGCGCGTACATAAAAGTTTGGATGATAATATTGATCTCAGAAATGTTTTTTAATTAATAATATATTTACCTTCAAAAAAAGTAATAATATATATAATTTCAAAATTTCGAGCATTGTCTTTATTTATTTTCAAAAGATAAATACAGAAAATACGGAACATGCACTTTTAATAAATGATTATTGAACTAGTTTACTTTATTTTGGTGAATAGGATTTCTTATCGTCAAATAGCTTTATATGTCTATCAAATTTAAAAAGTATTCACTTATAGCTAATAAAAAATAAAAAATGCATTCACTTAGTAATTAATAAAAATATTTTAATTCAAAAAATTTTAACAATATTATTCATAACTTTCATAAGTAAAAGAAATGAAATTTAATAGAATACATTTAGAAACTTTTCTTTTAAAATTTGTTATTATTAAGTATCTATAATAATAATAATAATAACAATAATATCAAATTTCATCATATTTTAAAACTTATTTAACTAATTACATATTAAAGCATAATACAAAATTAAAAATAAAAATATTTAATTAAGTTATTTAAATATGTTTTATATTTTCAATAAAAATATCTTCTAGAAAAAATATAGATATTATAATTTTAAGTATAAAAGTGTTATTTTTTTTAAAAAGGACAACATTCATTTTATTATAAAAAATTGTGAAAAATAACTTAAAATTGTGAAAGAAAATATAAAATTATTATTGCAAAAGTTATATTAATATCACACCCAAAACTCTGAGCCGAACCGGCACTAAGACCCAAGTAAGCTTAAGGCTCCGAGGCCCATAGTAAGCCCAACTCACATCAATCCATTTCTTCAAAGTCGATTCCAAGAACAATAAGCCCATAATATGATGTGATTAAATCATACAACCATATCATATCTCTGATTCAGCTTCCATTTTTCAAATAGTTCATAGCTCGGATCTGTATTTCATATACCTTTCACGTCGTCTATACCATAGGCCAATTGGTCCTATCGTACTTTCAGAGATTCAATTAGAAAAATTTCATAGGTTTATTGAACAACACTCTAATAATTTTTACATGCTATATTGTAATATATCACTCCCTAACTGCAGAGCTCAGTACAACGATGATATATTTTTATACACAATATTGTACTTTTAAATATTACTAAAAATTGGAATTTACTATTGTAACTCGTAGGAGAAAGAAACAGAGTTCATCTGAATCAGCAAGATGTCTACCTTCTGGGAAAGATTTATGGGAGAGGGTGAGTTTCACAAACTCAATAATTAATAATAAATAATGCATAAGCCAAACGATCACACAAGATGCTTTGCACATTTATTATGATGAACACTTATTCAGTCAAGCACATGTCACAACATCAGCACTTATAAATAATATTACCTTCAAATAATCACATTAAATGGAGTCATAAAACCTCTAACAAGTTGTCATCACACATGGCCTGTCATCTCATATGTGTGCACCAGGAAACCGATCCTCATACATGGCCAACTGGTCTATTCCTCACTTGACCAGTTCTCACATTTTTTTTCCATTCTCTCTTTCTTTTTCCATTTCCAACAAGAAGCCACCCTGTGGTTTTGCCATATCATTCATATAACATTTCATCAGGTGCACACGGGGGCACCGAAATCCAAAACTGGCAATTGTCCCAGACCATATCACAATCCCATGGTGACCCACTTCATCCTAATTCCATCTGAATACAAGGCACAACATTATCATATTACAAGTAATCCAATCAACTCGCATAATGTAGTAAATTGCATAGTAGATTATAAGCACATAGGGATATAATTACGAAATATGTATAAATATTTAATTCTCATATGCTTATATTACTATAATTTGCACGATAGATCATAACGTAAATAATGTTATTTTTATAATTTAATATTAAAATAGTGAAGGCTGAATATCGTTTATATATTGGTCCGCAGACCATATCACAATGCCCATGGTGGACGCCACTTCAGTCCTAATTGCCCATCTGAATAACAAGGCACAGACATTATCAGTGATTACAAGTAATCCAATCACTCGCATAATGTAGTAAGATTGGCATAGTAGATTATAAGCACATAGGGGATATAATTTACGAAATATGTATAAATATTTAATTCCTCATCATGCTTCTATTAACTATAATTTTGCAGTACGGATGATCATAAGCGTTAAATAAGTTGATTTT